AGCATGTCGTCCAAAATTTTATAAAAAAGTCATAGGTTAGCATGTCGTCCAAAATTTTATAAAAAAGTCATAGGTTAGCATGTCGTCCAAAATTTGATAAAAAAAAGTCATAGGTTAGTATGTTTTCCAAAATATATTAAAAAAGGCATGTTGTCGAAAATGTTGTAAAAAAAAGTCATAGGTTAGCATGTCGTCCAAAATTTGATAAAAAAAAGTCATAGGTTAGTATGTTTTCCAAAATTTTATAAAAAAGTCATAGGTTAGCATGCCGTCTGAAATTTGATTAAAAAGTCAAGTTGTGCGAAATTTGATAAAAGAAAGTCAGGTCGTCTGAAATTGGATAAAAAGAATCATGACATCCGATATTTGATAAAAAAATCAGAGGGTAGCTCCGTCATGGTTGATGCACTTGTTTTAAGTTGCTTTGAATAAAAGCTTCAGCTAAATGAAATGTAACTGAAGTCTTTCTTCTTTGTTCCATTGCTTCAGCAGTTGATCTGAAATATAAAAGTGTAACACTGACTGAGCCTCTCGTGTTTTTCTGCAGATGGGAGCATGTGATCTATCAGCTGGGAGGACACCAGGAGCTCATCCGCTACGTCGTCATCAAGGGAAACGTTGTTTATGATAATGAGAAGACCACAGACTTCTAATCACAGGTACTTTCTATCTGTTTGTGTCCAGGCTTCAGTTTTTAGAAGTGTGTCATCACAGGCACAAAACTAAAGAAAACATTACAGGCAAACAAAAGGGAAATTTGTTGACAACCTTTTAAAATCATTTAAGCGTCACCTCGGACACAGATCAAATATCGATCAGCTCATGTGATCAAAGAGCTGATTGACCTGATGATCCCTGTTCTTATCCGTGTTATCTTGAAGACACCAAAAGTAAAGAGGTCGACGAGTCGGACGAACATTTAGAAGAGTGCTCTCTGCTTTTATTGATCATGTTAGTACACAACGCTTGTTTCATCTACACTTATATTATTCCACAGGCATCACTTAAAAAAAACAACATTATTCTCTTCATGCTTCTTTTCAGTCGAGTTCTGATTTTCATTCATATTTTATACAGAAAAACTCAAAACGTGATTTAAAAAAAAATGTATATTCTCAACAATAACTGATGAAAAAAGGTGATAAAAGTTTGTAGTGGCACACACAGTATTTGGACTATAAACAAAAGGTATGATGGAGGTGATGTGATATATTTCACGTATCCAGTATTTAACTAACTGAATTAAGCGCGTGTCTCCTGTCAGGCCTCGTACTTCTTCCCTGCTCGGTGGATCTGTTGGTAGAGCGTCATCGAGAAAGCCATACCGAGGAGCTGGAGAAGAAAACACACACACACACACACGAGGATCAGCTGCATTTCAGGATACACCCGCTGCACCATCACATTTAAACATGACGTAGCCTCAGAGTTTCACAGCTCTGATAGCAGCTGCTCACCTGTATGACCAACACACACATAGCGATGGTTCCCAGAAGGTGTTTGTTGTCATCCAGCCACTCCTCCACCTTCTCATAGCAACCCTGAAAACATAAATTCTGAGAGTGAGGCCCCGTTCAGACCTGGTATCACATTTAGGAGACATAGAAATTGAGATGTAATCATTGAATATGTGTTGCATCTTGTTTAATTACACCTAATTTACTTAAACAGCTTTTATATTATTTCAGAAAGCAGTGTGATGTTGGAAAGATACAAAATAAACAAGTGTATTTCATCAACGTGTTCTTCAAGTGTATCAGACTTTTCTTTAAATGGAATTTGTCGGCTAGAATAAGAAAAAGATAGAACATGATCTGATGACTGACCCGTGTCCAGAAGGAAGTGGAGGCGTTGCGCCCACAGCCCGGGAAAACCTGCTGGCAGCAGCGGTCAGGAACCACGTTTTCATGCAGGGCGGTGTACCAATCACTGTGGCCCATCACTCCACAACACTTCCACTGGTGACAGAGAGAAGGAAATAGTCCTTTACAGGTACAGTACGACAAGATATCAATTGTTTTTCAAACTCAAGGCCTGAACAGGACGTACCTCTCCCTGTATGGTGTTCCATGCATCCCTCAGGCCGGCGTTGTTGTCAGTGTTGTACAGAACCAAACCTTCTTTCAGGTCCCGTCTGGCATTTTCATTCACCTGCACAGACGGAGAATTCGATGAGTCCACACTCAGACACGCAGCAGCAGAGGATCTTCAATAAATAGGAATATTCCTGTCTTACCTTGTTGGTGTAGACAAAGAACAGGGTGAGGAGGATGAGTTCAGCCAAGAGGATGATCAACAGAACGATGAAGAACTGAATAAAAACACAGGAAGATGAAGAACATGAGAAGAAACATACAGGATACATGCATTTATGTACAAAAGATAAGGCAGAAAAATTCACTACAGAAAGGTCAAAAACGTCACAACACTGATGCACTCTGGGTATTGTAGTACACTCACACTCAGCAGCAGGCACTTGTTCTCCTTGATGGCCCCCAGGCAGCCCAGGAAACCCGTTACCATGACAATGGTGCCAAGGGTGATGATGAGGTTGGCGGCGGAGAGCGACGGGAAGGAGGGCGACAGGGTGGCGAAGCTGCCCTGAGACACCGACAGCCACACGCCCACCCCCAGCAGACCACACCCACCCAGCTACAACACAGGAAGTGAAGAGTTTAATGTGTTTACTGATGTTACTGCTGATTACAAAGAACATTTTCTGACTGTGTGTGTGGAATAATCACCCAGAAGAGCAGGTTGAAAAGGAAGAGCATGTATTTCACGCAGCAGATGCAGCCACGAGCCATGATTGAATCGACACTGCACACAAATAAAACAACAGCATGAAAATAAACCATGAAAAGACTAAAAGCACGTCTCTTACACTGGATTCAAATGTATTTTTACTGTGAATCATCAGTCAAACCTCAGCATTACACATAAATAAATTGAATTTTTTTTAAGACAATCATTATCATTTTAAAAAGCTGGAGTTATACTGTTACCGAATTAGGTGGCAGATATTGAAGAAAATTTCTAAAACCAGTATGTCGGGCGATACACAATAAAAAATGATCATGCTTCCCAAGCTGTCATTATCAGAACCTTAAGACTGAGGTTTGATATTTATAACTACAAACAAATATATAGAATTTGAATTAAGAATATAAACCCGAGTTAAATAATTGTTTTTAATCTACAGTGTGAACATTAATGCAATTGCTGCAATGTTTAATCTGAAAAAGAAAATGTTTTCATATCAGCAAACAATAACTCGGTTAGCTGATAAATCTGTCAGACTCTAGAAAAAGGCCCAAATGAACGTTCTTCGTCGTGGTTGTTTTTATCACCACGATAACAAATCAGACATCACAGCTCACAAACCACTTTGTTCTCCCATGACATCACAGTGACTGTAAATAATTTCCTCTCTGGAGAGTCATGTGACAACCACATCACAACAAGGAGGAGACAAACTCACCACTTCACGAACAGGAGAACCGAGGAGCTCTAGTTATGAACCTGAGACACAAAAAGAACACAAACGTCAACATTCATGAAGTTTTACTACTATCATCAATCAATGTGCCAGTCTGACTGATTAACAGGTTAAAAGTGACATCTTCACACACATCCAGTGAGAAACTGAAAGACAATCAGTTCACAGTGATAAAACACAGGGAATGTTGAGACGATCACAACCTTCTGGTGATTGACTTATCACACACCGTTAACAAAGTGCTCACAACAAGGAGAAGAAACATAAACACACGTTTCAACTCATTTAAAAAAAATGTCCCTTTGACTCCCTTCGTTTCGAATTTAAACCATAAAATCAAATGTTTTAAGAATAAGAAAATACTCTAATTCAATATAATTGCTCAGTTTAACTTCGGGTCAGAGACAACAGTCACAAAATATTCTCTGCAAAGAAACCAGGTGGGATGAAAACAACAGTTTCTAACGTCACTCTGGATCCTCGAATGTTTAGAAAAAAAGCTCAACGTCCAACGCAATCAATAAAAAGTGACAGTCTGTTGTTGAACTGTTTGAAAAGGAATAATTCTGAAGTAGCTCCGGAGCATCAACACTGGACAAGCAAACAGGCCCGGCACTAATATTCTATAATATAAAAATACTCTTTAACTTAATATGATTGTTCACAAGTTACAATAGTTTGAAACAGGGGTCAAATAAAAAAGACCTGGATCCACTGGATTACATGTTGTAGCTTTAAGTTTAAATAAACACGTCGTACTTCCATTCACAGAATTTTCACTTTTTCAAACAGTTAGCATAGAAAAGTTTCAGACTTAAATAGTTTTAACATTGACTGTAAAATCTTCATAGCAGAGAAACCAGGTGGGATACACACAGAGTTTTCTTACAAATAAAAACTGTTCGAAAAATGGACATTTAAATTAAATTCTATATTTTCCAATCGTTTTTTTTTTTAATGTCAGAGTGAGAATTCCAGCTTCTCCCGACGATCTCTGTTCCCGAACGTGACGTCACGGCTCCGAACGTCACTCTGCGGTTTTTAACAAAAGTTTACGACGAAAACAAAAAAACAAAAAACAAAAAAACACGCAAACGTCCAAACGTCTTCGCTCAATCCGCAGATCTGAACGCTTCGGTGACGACAGCACGTGTTGGTTTACGTTAAAGTGAAATCTTCGCGACACTCGGACACAAACTGGGACAAAGTTTTTCTCTCACCTTCACCGACGAGCCGCGGATCATCCTCCCCCCCACGAGGGAGTCGAGTTTCCCGCGCAGAGTCTGACGCTGGCTCCCGCTTCACAGCATCGCTCGGTGCGGAACCGAGAATCCGTCGATCTGAGAAGCGACGAGTCGGATTGGAACTTCTGTCGATGGCTGCAGGAGGAGAAGAAGAAGAAGAGGAGGAGGAGGAGGGAGGAGGAGAAGAGGAGGAGGAGGAGATTGTTCGGAGAGGGCGGGGCTGAGCGGTGGACGGGGCCGGAGAGGAGGCGTGGTAGGCAGGGGGTGGAGACGAGAGGGAGGAGCCTGGAGGAGCCTGCTGCTGCTGGTTGTACAGAAAACTTGTAGGATGTAGTATCTGCAGGTTTTTTTTGGAAGTACTGGACAATGTTCGGGATATTCCTCTCAGCAAATACTAAAACATATTATTGCAGTTGCTTCGTGTGTACTTTAGTGTGCGTTGTTGTTTACATGTACTCTGATGTGTCGGGATTGTACTTGACAGGAACTTTACACATCCACACAAAGCTTCCAAAGCCAAACAGGACTTTAATAAAGGTTCATCATTATGACACTGATATAAATACATGACTCTGAACAGAAGAAAACAAATAAAAATACAAAATATACAAAAAACATTAAAAGCGTGTTTCTTTTTTTCGCTTGCTGCCTTCGAGCTTCCACACGGCGTTAAAGCAGGACGGGGTTTCCTGTGTCAGGTCGGGGGGTAAAAAGACGTTTTTCTTGCCAGTAAACCAGGCGACTATTCTCCTGTGAAAGCTGGGATCTGCGTTCTTGCTCCTCCCGCAGCGAGGGGTGAGGTACGGAGGTGGGACAGTGACGCCATCACTGACTGAATGTTCCTCCATTATTTTACTCTGCGTCTGTTCTCTGTTTTATCCCAGAACCCATCGGTCAGAGTGGGAGGAGTTCAGCTGCACAGACTCACTGCTCTCTCCGTCCTCGTACTGAAACACACAGATTTTAAAAGATGTTCAATCGTACAAACAAAGTTTCTGCTGGTTTCAAAAAGTATTACTTACTTATTTCACTTATATTCAGGCTGAAACCCTGAATATAAGTGAAATAAATATACTGTCAAGTATAGAAAACAAATCTATTGTAGCTACGATAAGTACAGCCTCACTAGAAAACTTCATCGACTGTAAATAAACATGGACGACGGGGCTCGGCTTCCTCCTGTCGCACAATAAAGGAAGCCAAACTATCCCAGGTAAGGACGCTGCCTTCCTGCAGCTGAAGTTGTTGGATAAATCTGGACGTACGGAGCAGATACATTCACTGAATTAAAATTTCTGAATAAATGTGACACCCACCTTGCTGGCGATGGCTCGGAGTTTCCCCAGCAGCGTGGGTTTCTGGGCGTAGACCACGTCGTCGTCAGGCTCCTCCCCCTCCACCAGGGCACAGCTGTCGGCGGCCGGCAGCTCGCAGTCCTTGTTGGCAGACATCACCAGACGAGAGTACTTGTACTCCAGCCTGAGCACAGACCACAGACGCTTTATCATGACCTCTGCTTCATGTCTGACTCAAACGTCATGATCCCAGATAATAATCTTTATATACTGTTGTTTATTGTTGCTTTATCTTGAATAATAATATATTTAAATATCTGCTCATTGTGGTGAAACCTGTGACTTCAGATCGTTAACATTTCTTACTTGATCTGTGAGATCTGACTGGATGGAGATCAATACAATTATCTGGTAATATAATGTTTTCAAAATAATAAGTTTCAAGCTTTTTTCTCCAGGTTTTTGCTGCTGAAAACGTAATTAGACAAATATAATAATTTTTGTACTTTAATCTCATAATATTGTGAAATTTCCACAAAACTTTTTGACTTTCATTTTTTGTCTTTAATACATTTCTGTCTTTCTTCTTTGTATTTTGTTTCTTTACTAAATTACTTTGGGTTCTACATATATAAATATATAAATAAGGACTTCCAAAGGTAAAGTTAAAACACAATCGTTAATCTTTAAAATCTGGAAAACAAATCTGGAGCTCTACTGTCAGTGACAAACAGCTCCTGCCCTCTCTGCCTCTAACTGATGCTTCAGTGATCGTAATGAGCACGTTGGGCTGCGCTGAGATTGTCTGTAAAGTGTTAAATTGGCAGGTGTCTCTCACCTCTTGTTTTTCTTCCAGAAATAACAAGTGAGCGAGATGAGCAGCACGGCCACGAAGGCTCCGCCCCCGACCCCGACCTTCAGCCACAGGGCAATGGCCTCGCAGGGGGAGGAGCTTCGAGGAGGCAACAAGACGCCTTTGGTGCACAACTTGGGCTCGTTCCACACGTACAGGGTTTCCTGGAGAGAGACGGGAGACGTGATGACCACAAAAGTATAAGATTACAATCAGTGTGTCTGTATGTGTGTGTGTGTGTGTTACCTGGACGCCACCCTTGCACGCTCCCTCTATCTGGTGGAAGTCGTCCTCGGTGCAGCGTGGACAGGCGCTGGCGCTCTCCCACAGGAAGTGAAACGTGCATCCATCACATGTTCCTGCCGGACAGGAGCTGCACACATGCACACGCACAAATAAAATAACATGAAATCCAGTTGATGGCCGATCACATGCGACGCCACATGATAACTTACCTGGGAACAGAGACTTCTCCTCGTTCAGATTTCTCTGGGTTACAGCGAACAGTGATGACTGAACTCCGGCCCTGATCACATGAGGCTGTTGCCTGAGTAGACCTGAGGAAACACAACAAAACAAACTTTACAAAGTTAGGACATTAAAAAAAAAACAGAAACATGAACATCCTGTCTCTGGTGGTCACACGGCACCTGTAGAAGAAGTTGATGTCTGGAACGTCCTTCGAGTTTTCTGGGAAAAGATCTGGTTTAGCATTCATTCCGTTCAGGACGCTGTCGGCTGTAGCTCCTGAGAAGAGACAACAGACAAAACACATTAAATCCACCTGTAACAGCCGCTGATCACAGACACACACACGTTAACAAGCTTCATACCGACGAAAGTGTCTGCCAGGCTGATGGACTGGGAGGAAATGGACATCCTGAAGCCGCGGCCGTCCGCGGGTATGATGGTCGACTGACAGATGAAGCTGTCCACCCAGTTGACAAACTGAGCCGCGTCGCTCTGGTCGTCTTTGCTGGACACGTCGGTGACGTTATCTGTGCAGACAGCAGCTCTCCTCCCCTGCAGCAGACGTGATCAGCTGACAGTTACTATGGTTACGCCGAATAGTTCCCCTGCGGCTTTTTTATATTTTTATCAAACTGGGTCAGTTGCTCATTTGACATATTAAGCGTGTGTGTGTGTGTGTGTGTGTGTGTGTGTGTGTGTGTGTGTGTGTGTGTGTGTGTGTGTGTGTGTGTTTTACCTCATGGCCACAGAGGCTGATGTTGAACAGGTGAAGGTATTTTGTGCCTTTGGAGGTGAAACTCGGGCCGATGGTCAGCGAGGCCACGTCGCTCAGAGGGCTGAGGTCAAAGGTCAGAGTGCGGTTGTTCTCTATGTGCGTGAAGGAGCAGTCGCTGTAGCAACGAGAGTGTTCCTGGATGGAAAAGGAAATATATTTAACACCAAACCCCCAATTTACGATATTTTCCTTTAAGCTAACATCTTGTTCCGCTCTTCATATTGAGGCATTAACCACCTGAGAATAAAGATATTTATATTTTTAAAGTACGGTACCTAGTGTGTTTCAGTATCAGAATCAAGAATCAGGTATGTAGTACTAGTATGACAAAACATCAAATGATACCCGAGGTCTCTCTACCTTGTTGCTAATACTGCCTGGTCCACAGGGGACACACGCGTCCTGTCCGTAGGTGTGTCGTCCTGCCAGGAACGTGTTGGGCGGACACTCCTGGCATCTGTTGGTGTTTCTGTCGATATAAAAACCGGCGGGACAGGGAACACAGGAGGCGCCGGACCGCTGGGAGTTCTCTGGGATCAGGGCGCAGGCCCGACACGCTGAGGCCACGCCGTCCAGGACGTTAGTCACGCTGATGGAGTAGAGCTTCACCATGTCACTGACGTACCGACGCACCTACACAAACAAGGATAGAAACATAAGCTAAGGTTCACATGTTTATTTATTTGTCTTCATCATAGTATTCTGCTCAGAGATTTTTATTTGCACATCCAAACCATACGGCTGATAATGTGTCAGAAATGTTTTGCTTTAATACAAGAACATGAACGTCTGAATCGAATTTCATATCAATGCATTCAGTAGTTTTTGAGATATTTGAGATTTGGCTACAATTATCTGCATCTCTGCAAACGAATTAAACTAAACTAACTAATTTAGATTCTTAAAAGTTGCACAAGCATTAAATTAGATAAACTTACATCTAGAGCGCGGTTGGTCCTCTGGAAGGCCCATGTGTACGAGACCGAGGCGTTCCTGGTCATACTGTGCGAGTACGACTGTTTCCCTTTGCTGCCTTCCCACGACTCCACCACTGTCGTGCTCTTCCTGTTCACATCCTGCAGGGGGCGTCACAACGACACAATTAGACGGGAAAATGTGGGGCTGGATTACTGGGGAAACAAATATATGCAAAAGACTAATAAACTGAACCTTGGTGACACAACACAACTGTTCTGGTAACTAATGACGACTCTCAGCTACAATCACACTCACACACACACACACACACACACACAC